CTTGCTGGTCGACCTGATTCAGCAACTGAGCACCAACCAGCAGCTGCTGTACCTTCTGGCCTCCGGAGTTCAAAACGGCTTTGTTCGAAACGTGGCAACCTGGCGGCAAATCGGACCATCGAACCATGTTGGGTAAATATGAAAAAAACATTATCTTTATATTTATAGCAATGAGTGTTTAAAGTCCATCAAGTATCAATCGATATTCCATGTGCTCGCTGTTGAGCATTTACTTATTGTCATACCTTGTGCATTAGTATGTCGCATAATTTGCTGGTTGGTTCATGCTTACTAGCATATTTGTTGATATTTATTCCGTCACATTTGAGGACGCTGGATATCGGCATAGTCACATACACTAAAGGGGCTTAATAATTTTTGCATGATCTAATGATTAGTTTGCAGCAAATTGTTCTAATATATTCGCTTTTGTTTTCAGATAGTTGACACTAGCCGCTGGACTGCTCCTAGTTCACATCTCTACCGAAACTTCCGGCAGCGCTCTCAAGAACCTCGTCCAGTGCGTGGTCGGCCACCATGTGTCGGTATGGTCCACCATCCGGCAAAACAGCGGCTGCAACTTTGGCTTACTCAACTTGTTCTGAAGCATCGCGCTGCTCCGCGACCTGATGCAGCACACATAGGCCACGGTGCAGCCAGCCCTCCAGCGTAACGTGTACTGGGTCCGTTCGGAACAGGTGCTGCTGGACATGGTGTGGGATGAGAACCACATGGTCCGCGAACAGGCGGTTCCGATCGTCGCGCCGCTCGTGAGCAGCAAACCGAAGGTTTTCTTCAGTCCAGGGTTTCGCTATCTCAGAAGTAAACTTCGAGGCCGTGAGGTATACCGAACTGATTCCCTGGCACGGACCAGTCACACAGCCCCCACTGCGAAACCTCAGCGACTGCGTGCTACGGAACCAAGTGTAGGCGCCGCTGGCCATCTTGCCCTATCTGGCTCACACTAGGAGTGCGACGCAGCGCCGCACTGCCGAGGACGTCTGGGAATTATGCTGGGGCTTCGGCAATATGTGGAGCCCAGCTGCGAAGGTATTTCTGCTACCGAGCGATCTCCGCCGACACGTGTTTTGGGTACACAGGCTCGGCAAGGAGCAAGATGTGCATGGGGTGACCCCACCGCCCCCCCCCCCCCCCCCCCCTCTCTACGTCCGTGGTACAGGCTTCAGAACTTGCTGTATGTATTAAGTTGCACACCAGACAATATGAGTCATATCCTATCCAAAGTTTTGTTTACATCACGTGAGTTGTCTTAGAAAAGTGGAAGTCCAAAGCAATACTAACCAGCATATTAGTGCGAGTTCATACTCAACAGCACATAAAGTTTCCGCCAAAAGGCAATTAATCGGGCAATGTCTGATCCGCATGTTAGACTTTAGACCGGGGCATTTCCGTACGACGGCTAAAGGGGCGCTCAGTACCATCGTTTCTTTAGGCAAAGGTATTTTGTGTCGTTTGCCGCCCACGGCTTGGTGCTGCCTGCAGCGGCGGACGCCGCCCAACATTGGGTGATTGCAACGCCGGGCGTCGGTTTACGTCGACATTTCGATCGACTCGCACCTCACGAATTTAAGTTTTTGGGAACGACATTTGCTATGCCGTGTACTTGTGGGCTCCAGCGCCAAATAATTTTTTGTCTTACTTGTTTTTGTTACTGATGACACCCTACTGTACATCTCCTGTGTGCGCTACTGGGGGTACCTAAGCGGTGAATGAGACCGCTGTGCGACCAGGGTATCCTGGCAGTTTCCTAGTTCCCTTAATGTCCATAGTTTGAAGGGCAACAGAGGTCTGAGTAGTTGTAAGCGCCCCTAAATACCAGTGTACCGCTGGCGACCAGGAAGTCCCGATTGAGCGGCCAGAGGGGTCCACGAGTTTACCAGAGGGGCTTCCTGGACCGCTAGACGCTGCTGCGATATTGTCAGAATTTGTATATGAAAATGTTTTGCTCTTCTCACCCAGCATGGTCATTTTTTGGACTTCACGGGTACGAAAAGAGCTCTCCCCAGGGGTTCCCGGACCCCTCGCCCTTCTCCAGCCCCAAATCCCCCCCCCCTTTCAACAGCCAGACCCAACAGAGTTTTCAGCCAAGACTTGAGACCCTATGCATTTCCCGATTGGGGCTGAAGGACCTTTCCGTTCCTTTTCAGACTTCCAATCGTTTACTATTAATGCACATGATACATTGGTCCCCTCTCTGATGTCGAAGGCCTTCTGACCGGGATGGCTGACTCTGGATCAGCGCGGGTCCACTCAGCGACCCAAAAAGGTCCCAAGCATAGCGGGTTCAATAAATAGCACAAGGATCCCAGCTCGACGCATTTGGGAAAAAAGGGGAGAAAAAAGGAGAAAAAGGGAGAGGAACCTGTCCGGTGCTGCTTCCCGACTGAAACGAAACTCTTCCACTAAGGCTCCCGTCAAGGAGGGGGGGGGGGGGGCCTCCGGTCCAGCACAAGCGAGATACCGGGATGTCCGACATGTCCGGATGTCCGGTCAGCCGGGATGTGTACCGCAGCGAATCACGTGAGACCGAGTCAGGAGCCTCGGACTCTGACGTGAAGATGGCGGCGTGCCCGACTGAGCTGGCAGTGTTTCGACCGCGGACGGGCTGCCCCACGGACAGGTCTCGCGCACATATGGCGGGGTTCCGTTCTCGGTCGAGAGACGGCTCGCACGTGAATGCGTTCTTCATTTGGCGTCCGGGCTGCCTCGTCCGCCGGCCCGCCGCGGGCGTGGCTGCCGGCCGGACCGTCGAGCTGGGCGGTCCCTGGGCTGGCGTGTGCGTCCGACCTCCGCGTCCAATCGACTGTACATTATTATTCCTCCCATATATATATATATATATATATATATATATATATATATATATATATATATATACAGTGATTGAGCGGAAGCATTGTCCGCAAATTTGGCGGGCGGCGGTTTGTTTGTCGGGGCGGGCTGTAATATCGATTGGGGTTTTACATCTCACCGGCTGCTATGGCTATTTCGAGGCGGAACGCTTCTATTATGTATTTATCAGGCATTAGGTACGTGGGATGCGATATTGGTATGGCCAGGACCCCATCCCAGGATAGAAAAGTCCTGAGATGAGCACCCTAACCACTAACAACCATGCTACCGTCCCCCTCTGCGGCGCGAACTGCACCCGTCTCGATAAACTCCAGACTGGTGTTGCTGGACCCCAAATTATATACTTAGAAGGTTCGGAAGCGTAAAAAGAAGACAGCACGTCAAGATTGATTAAGTGGATGGCGAATACAAGCTCCCGATTCTCCCAATTCACTCAGCTTTTATATCGCAAACCAGCTCAGTGACATGCACTCGGCTCCGCTGTTCAGATCGTGAATCAACTTGAATACATTCGCGGTCAACTTTTGCTTTTTTACTTCCTATTTACTTGCAACCAGAAGTGCGGTTCCCTATTCAGTTGCAGGGGTCTCATCCCCTGCCGTAACTTGGGTTGCAGCCTGCAGATTTGCGAAAAAGTGAGCCAAATTAGGAGAGAAACCAATTTGTTGGCATATTCTCACGGTACTCTTTGTTGTATTTTCATCGCTCAGCCAACCGACTTATTTTGATAAACCATGCCCGTTGAATACGTACCTAATTGAAGAAACGAATTATTTGTACACTGGGCGATTAAACATGTCTCACTAGGGAGAAGTATCCGGGTTCGGCTGATGAGTCAGTCCCCACCCCCTCTTTGAGAGCAAAGTCATGTAGAATTCAGGATAAGTCCCGTTTGCATGAGCGTGTGAAATAATTTGCAATTGGGGAGGGGAGAATCAGGCGAATAAAATCACTAACAATATAGGTTAGCGTTCCAGGAACCGGAGATCTATGTGCGCGCCTACCTGGAGCAGACATCAAGCCAGTCAGCCTTACAAATCAGTCCTCAATTCCTTCAAAAATGAGAAACGTCGCCATCACATACAGTAAGTGACGGAACCAAATACCCTGGATAATTTTATCCACAGCCCACAATACCAAACAGCAGGCACCCCGACAAGTGCTTTCCATGATTACCAAGCAGCTACTGCCGAGCAACCAGCTATTTCCGATACCAGGAGCCAGGGATAGAAGTTTTGAATTCTTTAATGCGCCTGCTGCCAAGGACGTCTTGACGCGGCAAAGCTTGTGTGCTCAAATAAAACGTTGCCCATATCCATGCACAGTGGTTTAACTGGCCAGCACTGTGCCGCATGACGTCACCCGTCGGCCGAGGCGGGCGAAATCGGCTCCGGTAGCCCTCTGTCGGGCAATATCTGAACCATTAGGTGTAGGGTTGCGAGGAAGTGGGACATCATCCCAACCCGTGGATCTCACGCACACTGGGCTTGATGTACACTGGACGCTGCGAGCCTGGACGTTATGATTCTCCTCTGTCCAGGGAGTTTGGACGGTTTCTGAATGTTGTAAACGCTGGATGATGCGATTGTGGACTTTTTGACCACTCGGCCTTATGAGCTCTGGACGTTTCAAGACGCATCCGCGACGTATATCACCATGCTCGTCGTTAAATTTTATAAATCGTTTCCCTGGTCACACGCGTCTGCCACAAATAGATTGTTCATTTCTTATACAGAGACAACTTGATGTTCTTGCCTCCCAGTTGCGAATAAGTCTCCTGTGTACGTTTTCATTTTTCAGTCATTGCATTCTGAAGATTTGCTGGACGTCCTTGCAGAGCTTATATCATCATATTCGCCATATAATACTATGTAATCTGCTCGCTGCTCATATGCACGTTCCGTTGCCGGCTTTTTCATTTTCATTTTCTGTACGAAAATTGTGTTGCTCCGGTTGGCCCTCAGCAATGCGTCCGGCGTCTAGCGGCCAGCCACGCATTTCAATATAAACATCAGTGACGTCATGATAGCCTGAAACGAGAATGAAGGGAGTATCACCAGACGGTTTGAGCTGCCTTATGCGGCTTGACACATCACATCCTGGCGGTGTCTAAACAAACTGGTTGGTGGCTCTGCCCTGTTGATAGGGCATTGTGCAGGCGTTATTGACGTGAGGGAGTGGTTAATGTAGCAGGAGTTCGTCTTTTGTTGGTGGGGTAAGCTGCAAGCAAGCTGTACCTGATTAGGGAAGGATAACGGCTACCTTGTTCTAGCTCAGGAAGTGTCGGGTCGTTTTGGTACTGCTTTCTGTGCGAGCATCGTCTAGGCCGCAAAAAATACATATGTGACAAACATGACTGATGTAGCACGGATATTGCAGCCAGTCATGTTAGAGTGTGTACAGTATGCATGCTTGTTTAAAGGGATGTGCACACTGAGTTTCCTAAACTTGGGACATGTTTGCCATAGAATTCACTGCATGGAGCCAGTAATTTGAGTAAATACTGATAATGTGGCAAAGATAATATTGTTGTATAATTCCCTCATAATTTCATCAACCAATAACATTTGGGAAATGACTGCTATTTGGGACTGCCTCAGGTTACTCTGTGCTGGCACAGTTGATGACACTATTTGTTATGAGCAGGTTCTAGCCCATTGGCAGTACCTTAACACTGGAAACAGCCATACTGACCTTGCATATGCTAATAGTCATGGTACCTAGCATCTCAGTGAGCTTTTAGTGTTGGTTCTCCCTGGCACCTTTAAAAAATTCAGCTATGTGATGTACATGCTCCTTAACAATTATCTGCTAGTTTTGTTACTAAATTACAGCCGTTCAACTCTACCTGTTGCTCCCTATATCAGTGCCTTTGATACATATCAAAATTATTTTCCTGATTGCCAAATTCTATATTTATTTTCAGAGATATCACATAAACTGCTCCAACCTGATTGGGGCTAAAGTGCAATGCCTCTTGGCTGTGCTGCTGGTTGCATGCATGCACCAGTTTAGCATGCATTTTTCATGCAGTGGTCTGGTATAATGGAGGGAAATTTTGCAGGGTTGTTTCTCATGCAACAATTTGAGTATTTTGACAACTTGTATTGAAGTTAGCCAGTATCTCTTACATGTACAGCTGAAGCCTACAGGCCTGTATTTGTCCACAATCTTTGTGTGGTCTGTCTGCCTGAATAGCCTGCACTTTGTGTGTTTCCCATTGACCATATCAGTTGGAAAAGCCAGCAAGATGTCTGCATAGACTATCTTGAAATTGTACTCATTGCAAAATACAGTTGATCCAAACCAACTAGGAAATAATGGCATGTCAGACGTAAATTCAGGGTGCTTACTTAAACCAAATCACTCATAGTTATCACCTACTGCATCATGCATCATAGGAAGATCATTCTAAAAATGGATAGTCTGGCCATATCAGGCTAAAAGACAGGAGCCAGAAATCAAAATTATCCTCTGACTTCATTTCACTGCATATTTAAGACATCAAGTGGTCATGTAGCAATATCCTTAGTAGAAACTGAGGTATGAGCTTCCTGCAAGGGGTTGCAAAAAATGCTGTATTTTGTATGTAAGGCACAATGTTGAGTCCCCCTAAAAGTGATAATATGTAATACCTTTTATTCATGGCTACTGTCCCCAGTGTTTTCCAAAGTATATTTCTTGCTGTGATGTTGAAGCTGCCATGTTTAAGAATTGATATGGATGGGGTCAAATTAGTTTTCAAATCTGTATGATTGATGCTGACGCTTTTTGATATAGGTTTACAATAGTTAGATATGTGCTCCCACCCAACCAAATTTACAAGAATGGTAAAATCAGGTTACAATTAAGGATGTTCCTTGGAAAGAGGCATGTTTGTTTTCCAGATCATTGCAGTGTTTCACTTACATTTATATTTGAGCAGGCTTAACATGCAGACACAAACCCGCACAGTGCTGCTCAATAAATGTGTTTCAAGCAATGGTGTCCAGTTGTTCGCCAGCTAATCTTGCTGCTTCTTCTTGTCCAAACTCTGAACCAACCTCAAATATATTTATGTTGGAGATCAGTTGAGTTATACTCAACAATCATCAAACAAATAAGAATTTCCCCCTCTGCTCTTACAGAAAGTCAGTACTGTAAATATTTGAATTCATATTGGGTGCACACAGTTGACCAGTGTCAATACTGTGGTTATGCTCTGAATGGGGCCTTCTGAAACACAGATATAGTCTGGCTACAATAGTCTCTCTCCTGTCCAGAATGAAGCAATCAGTCCTGGTCTGTGTTGAATGATGTCATTTACAAGTAGGGTTTGCAGAAATGGCACAAAGCCATGTAAAATGTCTCAACCCTGATATTTTTGCTGCTTTCTCAACTCTGCAGTAATGGTATCCATGGCATCACATTTGTCATTTGCAGACAAAACATATAGAATGATTATTCACAATTCAATCACTGCACACCAATTCACAGCTGGATCATCTGCTCTGTTTTAAGTTGGTGTACATATCATTGTGTATACATACAGATGATGTGTTAACAGTGTTCTGCATTTTCAGATAACTACAACCATGAACAGATCAGTAGATCCCAAGAAAGTTGTAAGTCCAGCTTACTTTAGGTGTTTGTGCTAAAGACTAATGTATGGTCTATGTGCCTGTAAGCCTTTTAGACCCACATGATGTACCAGGCACTGGATTTTAAATCCCCTGTTTATATTGTTGATATGAAATACCCATGAAACTTGACATATTTTCAAGGGCCTGCCACATGTGCATTACATGCCTATCATTGTTTGGTGTCACCCACTGCTCATGATTGGGTGACACTGCATAATTATGAAATGCCCATTATTTTGCGAATTTTGGCTAGCATACAGTACCATTGCCGGTTTGGGGTCTGTAAGCATGCTTGGCCGGACTGTCTGATGTCCCGACTTGGACCGTCAGAACTCGGAGCTGTTCACGCTGACGTACGGGGCGCTGGTGGTGCAACTGCTCAATGACCTGGAGAGTGTGGAGGAGGTCAACAAGCAATTGGACAGGATGGGCTACAACATTGGCGTCCGACTGGTGGAGGATTTCATCGCTCGCACGAGCGCGGACAAGTGCTACGATCTACGAGAAACTGCCGACAAAATACAGGTGAGCACACATGCTCAGATCTCATGGCTTCCTAGGAGTGCTTGATGGTGGCAGTAATGTGCGCAATTTGAGGGTCTCTTATGTTTGTTGTTGTTTATTACCTGATATGACTAGATGCACATAGCTATGTGTTCAGAATTTTGGCAATGGGGTCAAGTCAACAACACGGCAGTTTAAAATATGTATGTTGTTTGTTGCATCACTGATAAATGCTGTGTAAATGACTGGAATGATGTATGTGTTGTAACTTATGTGCAAGGAAGATGGTGCATTATATTTGGTATCTTAAGGTGTAAGCAAGCGAATATCTCATAACTTTCTGAAGTGTCATGTGTTCTTCCAGAACATGGATACGTGAGTTCCCTTGTGTATGTTCCTGAAATTTACATTAGCAGATGCCCCCATATGGTATGAAATAATCACTGGAATGGCATGTTTGAGGAATGAGTGCCCATGTGTCATGGCATAAGGCATGTGTATCAGCTCTTGTGGTCCTTTTGGGAAAGGCAATCATCGTTGATAAATATCCACGCTAGTGATTGCACCCGCGCAGTCGTTAACAAGCAAATGACCGCAGCCGCTGGTCGATACAGGTGGCTGGCTCCCGTGGCTGGCTCCCGTCATTTGCCGTAGCTGAGTTCATCGAGTCTTATAAGGTCCCATACAATACAGAAATCCGCCGTCACTCCCGTGCCGCACACGGGTGGAACGGTTTCAGTGGCATGGTTCGTTGATCGTTGACTAGGCGACTAATGGTGCCTGGTGTGGCGAAACCATACGATTAGCTGTCCGTCGTGCCAATTTAGTGGTATAGCGGTGCTGGACCGGTCCGGTAGAACTCCGGCGTGCCCGTGGCGGTGTGCCTGTAGCAGCCGGGGCCCCGATCGGTGATCATAGATTTGCCCCCACCCACCGACTACACCGGATCTGAAATATTCCTGGTCCTTTACTGGTTCATGTTGAAAGTTATCAGCCTGGCTTGATCGTGTCGCGTGTCATGAACTTTCCAAAGAAGTATTTTGAACCTGGAGATAATCAAGTTTTCTTTAATCCCCAGACGCAGCCATGGTTTTCCTTTCGTCCGCACGAATTTCTGTTAGTATACGAGACCCATCAAACTACCGCCGGTAGCGGGCGTATTGAACGCTGACAGTTGTGTTGGGCGTTCGTGTTGCCATGTGCATTGTGCGGCTCTTGCACTGCATCGGGGCTCTGGAAGCCATGTATGGTGCATTAAGAACGGCTTAACACAGGGCTGTGGATCGCCAAGGAAATGGTCCCATGAATGATTGGTTTGATGGCTTCCAAGGGAGCGGGGTCATCAAAAAAGCTCGTCAATTTGTTCGGGTCTGAAAGGGTGGGAAAGTGGAGACTACAAAAGCAACCTTTCAGCCTGCGCGGGTACGGGTCGTCGACGGTATCATCACGCTTTGAGTTGCTGCTGTGCCCGGCTGAGCCTTAGACTGAAGGAAATCCTGGTAAATGCGACAATTGTCTATGGTGTCCAATACGACTCGTCCATGTCAACAGCTGTTCATGGAGGCCCTGATGCTTTATCACACTGAACTCGTGATACACGTATGAAGCCGGGGGACGCTGCTCATCAGCAGTCGCTATCTCGGAGGATGACGACCGGCTTTGGTCCTGTTCGCTGGTAGTCCGATTCCTCTAGCTATATTTTGTTCACTAGATTTCTTGCGATCGCTGAGACTAAGGCATATGTTAACTTCTGTGCACTGAACAACCATTTATCGGTAATATGGGACTAATCAATGTATGGTTGGTTCCGTTGATTAATCCATGTCATAACCATAATTCATAGGGCTGATTATTCAATTCATCAGGCTGATTAAATCCTGTGTAGAGCGTTAACTCAATGACCCCCCTGAAGCAGGCCCGTGAACCGCTGAATCACAGGAATTCCGTTGATAGACTCTGCCGTGGACAGATCCAGAAGCATCGATTGATCATCGATCGATCCGAAGCATGCATCTAAGGTGAAAATATGTGCTGAGGTATGCCGCGGGGGAAAATATCGTGTGTTCCACCCGCCCAATGAGGCTGCACGACCATTTGCAGTTGACTCGCCCGTAAGCTCCAAGTGATCGCCAACATCAGGGGATGGGGGAAGCTCTAGCACACACCCGAAGACCGCTGTCAACACTCTGCACATGAGCTCGCTTCTTCGTGTTTGGAAGGGCCCTTTAGTGTGACGTCGGGCACGGAGACGGCTCCCAGATGCGACGGCGGGATTCGGGACTTATCAGTCGGCCGCGTGTAAAGCTGTTGTTTCGCGGCGTAATACGCACCCACGAAACGGATCCCACCGCAGTCTCGCCTCGCTTCACCCTCAAGCGTCTGTTGGGTGCTGTTGGCCCATTGGCACCCCGCCTCCGCTCGGGAATACCTACAGCACCGGTGTAGCTAGGTCCGTAGATTATCAGTACATACCGGGAGGTGGGTGTGACACACTGAAAGGAAATATTCTGTTTCGGGTGAGTCGACGGAGCTGTGATGCCACTGTTATTGCATTCGTGGCCGTGACCGTTTCGGCAGGCAGCACAACAGTTTCATCTTTGTGTCTTCGATAGTGCGATGTGGTTTGTCGTTTGGTGGGCTGCCGGTGATGGTATTTGAGGTCACACCATGCCATGTGGAGTCGTGAGAGACCAACCAACAAATGTCGGAACCAACATATGTGTATCGTCCACTTATGATACATAATTCAGCATTACTAGCGCATATCCTGGCCAGTGGTTGATAGGCGTCATGTGAACCAGAAGAGCGGGGCAGTCGTGTCCGTCGATGGGACCCGGCCACGTGCTCAAATCATAATAACAGTAGGGAGATTGATGGCATGCCCTTCATTTGGTTTCAACATGAAGTGTATTGTGAGTTCTAATTGACAGTGACTTCGTTAGACGGCTTCAGTAAATTTGAAAATTTGCACGCGACTTGCGGTTTTATCAGTCACTTACCAGATATCGTTACAATTCCTGTGTGAGGCGATCAGGGACGGCGATCGCTGTGTGCGATAGGGGCTGCTGCGACTGTTAGATATTGAAATAGCAGTGGGAAGCATTTGTATCCCAGCCCACAGGCGGCGGTAGCTGGCCGAGTGCCCCTGGCGTCGTACACTTATGCTGAAATTGAAATGGCTTGTCGAATTATAGGTACATTGCATGGATGCGGGAAAAATACCGGCTCCAGATTCCCTACCATTATCAGCTGTGGACTGATCTGGTCTTTGGGTGCACCGGGTGGTTTGTCTCAAAATGACCAAAAGCCCCGGCAGTGGCAGAACACGACGACGTGTCTGTGTCTGTGTTTACGCGCGCCGCGCGTGCGTGCGTACGTGCGTGCGTCAGACGGCCGCGGCACGCCGCACGTCCGGCCTCTGGCGCGCCGACGGCGCCAGCCGACTGCGGGGCACGGCCGGGACGCCCGCCGGCGTGGCGCCCGCGCGCGTCTGACCCGCCGACCGGTGCCGCAGGCTGGGTTCCGGCTGTACCTGGGCGTCAGCCCGAGCGTGGGCGGCTGGGGTCCGGCCGGCGACGAGTTCTCGCTGACGCTCGACTCCAACCCGCTGGCCGAGTTCGTCGAGCTGCCCGAGACGTGCAGCAACATGCGCTACTCGGCGATCCTACCCGGCATCGTCCGTGGCGCCTGCGAGATGGTACGGTGGCGCTGCCCCCTGGTCTGCTGGTCCGTTGCGCCGTGGAGGGGGCGGGGGGGGGGGGGGGGTAGAAAAGCCGGACTGACATAGGCTACATAGGCCGCACTCAAATTGCTAAAGATGCAAGTATGTCGCGCGAGGCGGAACGTGCGCCATTTGGGGACCACGCGGCATGCGCGTTTTCTTCAGCATTACCTGACGCATGGGGCTGATCACACGGATCTCCCCAGATCGTATTGACAATTCCCTATCATCGGTACTTATGTAGAAGGTCGGAATGGGCGCCGATCATGACAGGGGCAGGTTTCATGATATGGTCATCTTTGTCAACGCTGCTTTTGGTATCCGCATGAGCCTGCAGTATTCAGCCGTTGTCAGCCTCTGCATGGGAGATGGTGGTATGATTTCTGTAACTTGCAGTTACTCGTGCACTGGACTTTCCCCCAAGATAGAACGGTGTTGACGTGTCTCAATAGTAATAAAGGTCTGCACTCGCACGCGTTGGTGTTACCGTTTCCAGTACCAATTGAGTTATCGTAGGCGGGTTCTGTCTGGCAGGTGCACCTGGAGGTGACCAGCTGGTTCGTCCAGGACCAGCTGCGCGGTGACCCGGTCACAGAGCTGCGCGTCAAGTTTGTGAAGCGTCTCGAAGACTCGGTACCACCCGGTGAGGACTAGTGGCCGGCTGATGGCCGAAAGTGTCTAGTGAGAACCAGGACACGCTGGGCGGGGACTGAGGAGCACCCCCAGCGAGGCCGGGCACCACCGGGCTGCTCACGCAGTGCCAGCTCTCGGTCGTGCTCTGACTAACTGACGGCAGTGAGCGGCCGAAGTGTGACGTCTACGGCGCCACGGCCGGCGGAGGCGAGGGCTGCGCGAGCTACTCCGTAGCCGACGGCTGGTGTTTGGCTGCTACCCCGGCGAGTCCGGCGCTGGTGTCTTGTTACTACCCCGGCGAGCCGGCCGCTGGTGTCTGGCTGTTACCCCGGCGAGCCGGCCGCTGGTGTCTGGCTGCGGCCCCGGCGAAGCGGTCGGCCTCTTCAGTGCGTCGTCATTATTACGGCGGGCTTGGTCGGTGCTTTGGGTCCATCTATCCGTGAGCAGTTGTGGTAATGACGAGGCATTTCTGACCTTACGTGGGCCAATTGTTGATTAATTATTGGTAGATTCCTTCATTTGCACCGAACGTGACCCCAGACGAAAGGCCGCGACCCATGTCTTGGCCAAGGGTCATGCATAGACTGATACCTGCTGTTGGGCGTCTGCTGTTGAGCATGTGGTGCTATGGCTTTCTGTTGACTCCAGAATGTATGGCGCTGGTCACTGTTAATGAACCTTCCAGATTGCCACCGTTGCCAAGCCGATAATGCCTCCTGATTCGTGTAACCTGTTGGAATGGTTACGCGCATTACGGCTGGCAGCGGCACGTTTGAATGGAGGCATGCACATTTCAGTATGGGCTCATAGGCGTAATGGCCAACTGGCCCATTTAAACCCGTCTATAGAACTCTGTTTCATGGTTTGTATGTCAACCTGAAGGTGTTGCCGCGCTTTAGAACATGTTTGAACACGTATGGTCTGTACGGAGGACGTTTCGCTTTTGTAATTAAACATTGATTAAGTTTCTGGGGTTGAATTCGTGTTTACTTCACCGGTGTGGAAAAGATTGTTATCACTAATTGGACCGTAATTGTTTTAACAAGACCGAACTGGCCTAACAAACTGAAGCGCATTTTCACAGCTGAAATTCGGGGAGCTGTTTGGTTTTCCTACAACTGATGACTGCAAGCGAACAGATACGATCTTCTCCCGTAAATGTGTTTTCAAAATGCCATCAAGTTGTTTTCGAGAACATGTATATTTACTGTCTCAATTTCAGATATCTTAATTACCCGCTTGTTTCGGTTGCCTATAACCGCGCCGCGTATTTTCATTTCATCGTGTTGATCATCGTCGCCAGGGGACACGATAGCTCCGAAAAAACAAGATAGAATACTCAATTGAAGGGCGTGTTTCGCCTTTCGGACATATTTCAAGAACATGTGATGAAACCTCAAGACTATAAATAGTTAATAATAGCACAGAGTATTGCGACTGCAGCACCGTCAAGTATAATAAGGATGTCAATATTAACTGTTTTCGAGTCCGAATTACGCTTTCAACGCTTTTTATCAGCCTTCTTCCTTGCCGTCGTGACCACCGTCTTCATAGCAACCGTTGTGCGCAGCTACTGGTGCGAATAAGAGATCCGTTGTGATTGACCCAGCGGGCAAGGGGCCTGTTCCCAATAAGTGCACAGGTTGAAGTTTGAACCAGCGCGTCCCATTGATTACGTGATACTCCGATTTCCAGAGCCAAAGTGCGCCTCGAAAAGAGCCACTGGTAAACGCTAAAGCGGAGAAATCAAAGCCATCATATAACGTTTCGTCCAATGCGCGGAATGTTAGCGTCATGTCCGCGTATCGTTTTGTGCTAGCAGTGTTTCAAGCTTTTATAGCATTTATCACAAACACTTTGGCACGCTTAGGTATCGCAGACATTAAAGAACACACGCGTTGGAAGAGCATGGTAAATGACATGCATTACTTTCACAGTGGTGAGCAGGGAGTTAAGTGAGAGCTCTCCCTCGGAGTCGGCTGCTTCAAATGGAAATTGTGAACTTTTGATAAGGATTTCGAGAACACTAATATTATCGATCAAATCGTGAGCGTCTGATGTAACAATCAGTGAAAAGAACAAAAGGTGGCATGCTCCCTGAAGTCCATGTGGCAGCAGAGCGTCAAGAGGTAACCTCAGGCGGTTTTCCATGAGACAACATGATAGTAAGAGTCGGGATGAACAGAAGTCATCCAGGTTGTGCTTATGCACTGACAGCTCACCAGTCATCAAAACGTGTGAAAATGTGTGCACGTAGCAGCATAGAGGCATTTTATGCGAACATATTTTTGTACGCGTTCAGTGCGGGTCGGCGCGCCCTAAAGCCCCAATCAACAACAACAGTGCGGGTCTCCCGAGCGAGTTTCGAAGATCGCAAAGTAGGTTATCAGCGGAGATCGAAAATTGTCGTCTTTTCGGGTAACCAGATTTCCAGATTCCGGGCACAGTAAGAGTGATTTCCAAAGCAAGTCGTCAGCGGTTAATGTTTCAAAACCAGGGATGTTTCCTACGTTGTGACATGGACTGCAGACAATCCCATGCCACGAGACTACTCATATAGATAAGATTATTCGATGAAATTGTTTTACTTTAAACTTTATCAAACGAAACGGTGAATCATTTATATAAGGCTGTGAGGATTCAGTGTGTGAACTCATGTTTTACATGGTAGATGCGGACTACGAAGTACGAGAGCCCTATTCTACGCAGGCCTGGTAAAATGCTAACGATCACATGCTCCAAAATCACTCAACTGCAATCAATGAAATGTGCATCAATGGCTTAAGGACAGGCGACATATTGTTGATTTCTCAGGCTGATGACAGGTCAAAGGTCACAATTGGTCCCAATAGAAACATAGCGTCTTCCGATAATCCTGTGCTGAGAAATTCATGGACAGATTTCTTTCAAGCCGTCACCAATAGATTTGGAATTTGTGATTTTTCGTGACCTGTTCACTTGGTTAGCTTATGCCTGGTCACCGAGAGCATGAAATTGTCGGGGTGTGGCATTTGCGCTCGTGGAAAATCCCCTACTCGCATGGATTTTGTTCTGCCAGCCATTGCATATGTCATTTTGTGACCCGTGTTCTGCCTGAAGGGCACGCAGCAAGAGCCTTGTGGGTGAATCGTACACTGAATCGATTGGTGAATATTTGGGAAGTCATCTGGAGTGTGGCATTGTTGGCGGCCACAAATATCACGTATCTGCAGTGCCATGGTATGTCACCAGCCCTAAGGTAAGCAAAGTAAAGCGCCATGAATAACTAATAAATCCCGAATCAATCTGCTAAAGTTTGAAGAACATCGGCCCTCGGGGTTCCGGGCATGAGATATTTTGCAACACAAATATTGTGGCAACTGGGTGTCTGTGGCTTGAAATAAGGCCACCAAATTCAAGTGATCGATTAATTACTAATTCTGGAGCAATTCGTGAAGGTTCAGAAAATCGGCCGATTAGTTATCAAGCGAGTCCGCGGACTGCAATATCAGGTCTCAGTCATTTGTTGACCTTTGACCTGACCTTATATATCTAAATGGAAGATTCATAGGTAAACTATGCGTCCTGAATCGGCTGATGAGTTGGAGAAAATGCTTCGAATAATTTCCGAGCACGGGCTTGTCTATGAACACGGCTGCGACGTTCTGGCTATTGGGTGACCTGCGACCTGACCTAAAATCACAAAATGACAACGCCCGCAGGAAATGGCGCTTTTTGGATTGGCTGGGGAAGGCTTCATGACAATCGGTTTGATAGTTTCTGGCCATGGGATTATCTCCGAACGGCAGCATCATGTTCAACCTTCGCCCTGGTTCGCCGTTTTTCATAACGCATACAGATGGGCGAGTCGATGCGACCCCTGCCGTTTCCGAACTAAAAAAAGATGAGCGGACTGAAACCACCAGTGGATTGGCTTAGACGAGATCTCGCGGTTGGCGATGTATTTTGTGTGCCTAGGTCAATGATTGACTTCAAAATACGATGTCAAGGTCAAATTATCCAAAAAAGTCAAAAAGTCAAATTATCCTCAGCGATATGAAGCCTAAACAGGTGTGTTCTTTGCTAAATTCTGAATGCGATGGTGCCAAGTTCAAAGTGTTTTGAGCATATATGTGTGGTATGTGGCTCCGTGAATGTAACAACGTCGTCCCGCCGCGCGCGTACCGCGGCATCGTCGGTGGCTGCCCAGGCCGTAGATCACCGGACAGGTTGGACTCGGTCAGGCTCTTTCAGAGTATGACATTGTCAGCATTTTCCTAAGTCTGTGAGGAATATAACTAACGCACTTTGCTTCCCGATTTCAACATTTTGGGTTTTATTTCAAGAACTTGATTTCTAAGTTCGTCCAAAAATCATTTCCAAAAATTTGTACAATAAAATTATTGTCCGATTACAATTAGTAGCTTCTGAGCGCGTGGCTGTCAGCAGCCCATGTCAGCAAAGTACCATATCTTCAAACTGGGCATGAGATCAGTCGTTTACAAAGCCGGTAGACCGATTCATCGAAATCGCAGCCCATATACAGCCGCAGCTGAAGTTCGCTGGGCGGCCCCCGCCGCCGGGTGATCTGTTCGACGCGGTGCGGGTTGTATCCAACCATTCCCAAAGCGAGGGGAGCATGCGCCCTCCACCTTCTCTCATACTGCGTCATCATCGCCATCTCTATTGCAACGGCGTGGAGTGCCGTGCCGCGGAGGACACAGTTCGCTCCAGTGAATCCCTGGCCGCTTCAGTGATTCCTGGGCCGCTCCAAGGACTTCTCCATTGGCCAGTGACTTCATGGCCGCGCGGAGCGATTCGAAGAGTGCCTCGTAACCAGAGATGCCAGTACCTTCTAACCAGGGATCGTGCCTCCTTACCAGGTATGTAGTTTCGTGTGTGTAGTCACCACTTTTCTTCATTTTTTCATAATCGTCATTTTTTGTGTTGGCCCCCGCAAAATTTGAGATGCTACGCTCCTGATCCTAGCTCTGCAAAAGAGGGCCTAAAATCTGCACAGAAAATTGCTTGAAGTTCATTTAGAAGGCAGACTCAGCCATTATCTTCCTAGTCCCCCCTTATGTATTTTGCAGCACCGCATCCCTGTATCCCTACATTTACCGATGACAGGGGTCTAGAAGCACATAAAAACAACATCGTTTTTGGTTTCGTCATGTCATCGTACAATCGGCTGAAAGCGTTGGCGACCATTACCATCTTCGCTCAATCATTACCGGCGCAGAACTCGCACTTCTTCACACGGCCTTAAACAATGGAATTTAGTACAAATCCATATAACGTTGGAATCAGCAGGTGCACAAAAAATTTGTTGGCACCTGTTTGCCTAAATCCAGCACTAAATACAATGAATGAAAAGCGTTCTATCTCACGCTTGTACGCCGTTCAGAACTCTAAGTCCGGGGTGAAGCCGGCAATGCATGAGGACTACACCAGTGATGCTCCGATATCGGCACCTTAATTCAAAGCTGTTGTTTACGTCAGCAGCAGGAAACCCAGACAAATGTTTGACATGTATCCTTCCATTGTCCTCCGTTGACCTATGTAGCTACAGTCCGGGTATCTACAAACAAGTGTCCTAGATCGGCAGGGCTTTTTAAGGCTATTACCAGAGACGCCTTCCATGGTGCATTCTTCTTAGCACAGCCGCACAGCACATTGAGGAAAACACCTGATGATTGGCTACATTCTCCAATCCAATGAGCTTGTAACGACATGATCACAACAAAGGGCAACCCGCAGCCCCGCACTGAACGCACGCCGAACTCAGTTCATTACCGCGTGGAAAGCATTCCAGCCTATCTGTCTCAAATGGTACGACTTTTTAAAACGCTGCGTAGCAACTTGATTATGTTCGTCGCTAGATGTCATGGTCATCCACTGTTCTTACAACTAGTAATAAGCTTAGTTATTAGGTATTTTAAACGGTTTAGTGTGTGAAGTGGATCTAGGCTGAAAAAAAAATCTGAAAA